ATTTGGGTGGTCAGGGCTCTGCTACTTTACAGTTTGGGGACTTTTGGCATGCCACCTCAATGCTCCGAGCCTCAGTTTCTTCATGTTTCAAAGGGCCACGAGAATACCCACCCAGCAGAGCGGCTGTGAGGTTTACTGTGAGATAGCCACGGGAAGCTCCAGGGCCCTTATTCAGTGTTAATTCCCTCTCCCCGTCATTATATTTAATATTCAGTCTTTGGAAAATTGAGTTATTGGTCTCTTGATAAAAGATTATTCTATCGTATAATTATTTCTGATTTTAACTGTTCATGAATATGCTTGAGAATATTCCTTTGAGTTTTAAGTATCTCTTCAACAGAAATATCTATGCATATGACATTGTATGTCCAAGGAAGTTTGTCATAGTAGTGTTTGTAATAGCCAAAAAGAGGAGCTGGACTATATGTTCTTTCCACACGGCATTAGATAAAGTAAAGTTCGACTGCATCCATGCCAGGGAATGCCAGGCAGCCACTAAAAAGAATGCGGAAGATCTAGATGAAGTGAGGTGGAAAGACACATAAAAGGTATTGCTAAGTGAAAAGCAAGCGTGCGATGGCGTTTTTTAGAAGGGAGATTTATGTGTACACGTCGACACACACAGTGTGTGTGTGTGCATGTAGAGGCAGGGTCTGCAGGGAAACACGCCAGACTTTGACAGTCGTGTCTGGTGGGGATGGGGGTGGGATTGGAGTGTGCTTAGAAGGGAAGGAATCTGTGTTACTTACTCGGGATACAACTCCATTGAAATGGTTTACCATGAGAAGGCATCCACGTCTTACTAGGGTAATATTTTAAGAGATAAGTAAATGATGTAACCTAAACATTTGTACCCCCATAATATGGTAAAATAAAAAAAAAAAGAAAAGATAAGTAAATGATTGCTCCTTTTGCTGCAACTCAAAAGGTTAAACGGATATCGGTGAAAAGCAGTTCCGTGGGTCAAATTAATCAAGTTGCTCTTTCCCTTCCCTTTCAGGGGTTAAGACTGCCAGGGTCGGGAGGTGCTGAGGGGGACATCATCTACTGTATATGGAGCAGGGCTGCGTGGAGCAGGCTAGACAGAACCCGGGGCGCTGCCGAGCCAGACTCGTGGGAAGGACTTTGGTTCATTCACTCTTTCATTCAACAGATGCTTATGCAGGGCCTGTCACCTTTTGGCACCCTTCTAGGAGCTGAGGATAACAAGACAGAGGAAAGTCTTTGTCCCAATAACACTTGCATTTGACTGGGGCATATGGACACTTAACAAACGCACATGAACACGGTGGCAGCGTTCGGCAAAGACAGGACAGGACAGAGGGGTGAAGAGTGAAAGAGGTGGGTGTGCGGGGGGGTGGAGCTGGGGTGCTGGGGGGCTGCTTTGAAATAGGATAGTCGAGGGACATCTGTGAGGAGGTGCTGGCTGAGTGAAGACCTGAATGAGATAAAATCAGGGAGTGATTCATGCATCAGAGCAGAAGTCGTGGAGTGGGAACGAGCATGGTGTGGTCACAGGGCCGCGAGAAGCCACTCGGCAGTGGGAAGCAGGTCACGGAGGGCCTCACAGGGCGTGGTGGGGCCTGGGATTTTTTTGCACATGTAATGAGAAGCCATTGGAGGGTCTTGGGCTAAGGATGACATAATGGTTGCATTTTGGAAAAGGCCGTTCTGGCAGTGAGCTATGATGACACCACTGCACTCCACCTGAGTGACAGAGCAAGACTCTGTCTCAAATAATAAAAAAAAAAAAAAGTAAAATAAATGGGGAAAAAAATACCCCACAAATCTTATAAAATTGCACATCAAGATTTATGGGAGAGAGAAAGAAGTGTGCTTAGTTTGAAGAAGACTTAGAACTGGTAATTCGAAGAGATAGTACCAAAAGTTGTTCTGAATAGCACAAATAAACCTTGTGCATACTTTGGTCTGTGTCTGACTGTCTCATCTTTTCTCAATCACATGGGAATAACTGAGACAGCCTAGATATACTTTGAAGTGAAATTGAAATGAAGTGACCTGATTTTCCCACTTGCTTCATCTAGACTGGTCATTATCTGGTTAATAGTAGGGTGTCCTGTCTTCCTGGAAGAGCTCAAGTTCACACCTGTTGTCCCTGATAACTATTTATAGTGCCCCAGTTAAGTCTCAAAAGTGTCTCAATGTAGATATAAATTCTTTGGCCACCCTATTAATGGAGAACTCTGTTGGTCTGAGATATCAAAGATAGAATTGGACTAAGAGACAGTTTCTTCTTAGTTGGAGAGGGACTTGACCCTAGCTATTCTCCGTGTCTGAAGAGTCAAGGAGGAGAAATTCCATGCTTAGTGTCCTGTTGCTTTCTGCCTGGGAAGAGGGGAATCTTTGTCTATTCATTTGTGGTGAAAGAATTAGTTGGTATTCTTTATTATTATTTTCATCTTTAGAACACCTTTGAAGTAGTTATTAATGTATTTTACAGATAAAGAAGCCAGGACTCAGAGAAGTCCAGTAAATTGATTAAGAGCACACAGCAAATAAGGGTTAGTGCCAAATGTTAACCTCATTTTGTCTAGCTCTAAGCTCACACTATTTCCATTTTTCAAGGTTGCTCACCATTTGGTAAACTGGTTTCATACCCAAATTCTCTTATTTTGGGACTCATTTTCTCCTGTTGGAATTGCTAAGTAATGATGCGATTCTCTCCTTACCAAAGAAGATCCTACTTGGCATCTGTCTGTTGTAAAAGATCACTCTGGTCTGTGAAGTTCAGTCTGTAGATGAATGGGTTGTTTCTGATGGGAAACGAGGACTGAGTTTGTATGAACAAGTGTCTCTGTTGTAATTAATACCAGTAATGCTCTTTTGACTTAGGAACCATCAATGTATAATTAGATAGGTATGACTGGAAAACATTTTAATTATTTATAATAGAGATAAGCAGGGGAGTTAGAAGTGGAGACAGGAATTAGACAGTAAAGCTAATAAAGCTTTGCCTTGTGATTAGTTCAGAATTGAGGATCACAGCGTTCATTGCAATAGAAAAAAATTGGAAACAACCTGTAGTCTAGGCTGTGTCCATACAATGGAATACTATGCAGCTGTGTAATGAACAGTTATAGATACTTACTGCTGTGGAATGATAGATCTAAAACATTGCTAAGGGAAAAAAGCAGGATATAATGCCATATATATTCTGATACTTTTTCCTTTTATGATATATACCTAGAAAAATGTTTCAAACAGTATCTAAGTATCTCTGCTATTAAAATTATGAGTAGATTTCTTTTTTCCTCTTTTATCATTTATGTGCATTTTCTAAGTTTCCTATCGCTAACATAAATTATGTATACAATTCTTAAGTTAAATTATTAAGTATGTAAGAGAATAGAAAATTCCAGTTTCTCTCTCATCACTATCAAAAGGTTGTATGTTATTTAGCATCAAAAAAGAAGGAAATCCTGACACATGCTAGAGCAGGAATGAATCTGGAGGACATTATGCTAAGGGAATGGACCAATCACAGAAAGACAAATACTACATAATTCCACTTACATGATGTATCTAAAATAGTTAAACACATAGAAACAGAAAATGGAATGGTGGTTGCCAAGGGCTGGGGAAGGGGTCAATGAGGAGTTTTTGTTCAATAGGTATAAAATTTCAGTTATGCAAGATGATTAAATTCTAGAGATCTGCCGTACAACATTGTGTCTATAGTCAACATGGTTGTATTTTACTCTTACAAATTTGTTAACAGGGTAGATCTCATGTTAACTGTTCTTACCACAATAATATTTATTTTAAGAAAAGCTCTGTGTGTCCTGCAAGACAATTTCCGAGGGCTGAGTCCTCCACCATTATGTGCAGAAAACTTGCCCCACCTCCCTTCTGAGGACCTGGACACATTGTTCAGTTACTGAATGCCTAGTAGGTGCTAGGAACTGTGCTACTGGTTCTCCCTTGTGAGATTTCCCTTTACTCCTCCTATCAATCCTGAAAGATAGACATTACCATTCCCATTTTGCAGGTGAGAAGCTGATTTTGAGGGTCCTGAAATTAGTGATGGAACCTCTAAAAGAGGTTCTGCTAAACACCTCCTCAACGCCAAGACCAGAACTCTTCAGTAGAACAGCAACTAGTGATGGGAACAAAGTTTAAACCTGAAATTAAGAGGAAAGCAAGCTTACACAATGTCTCCTGCCTCTGAGATTGAGACTAGGGCCCACTGGGGAGACCATTTGTTGGACAAATAATCTATTACACCTTAGAATGAGTGGCTGCTCTGGGCTATCACATTTATTAGCTCACCAAGTACTTCTAGTATGTCAGACCCCACACTGGGTACCTTGCAGACACCATCTCAAATCCTCACCACCACTCTAGGAGGTGAGTACCTTTATTCCCATTTTGCTGATGAGGAAACTGAGGCTTACAGAGGTGAAGAATCTTAGTCAAGGGCACACAGCTTGTAAGTGGCAGAGCTCCAGAAATCTCTGTTCCTAACCACAGTGTTACTTTGCCTTCATAAGTAAAAGGGAAAAGAAACTGAAGGAGAGGAGAGCAGGGCCAACATGAAAAGCTGGTGAGGACCTTGGTCCTGGTAGAACGTGTTTCTCCCAGTGTTTCTTTTTTTTTTTTTTTTTTTTTTTTTTTTTTTTTTTTGACTTTCTAGAATAAGCTGAGTCTCCCAGTGTTTCTTATTGCTTGTCCGTCATGGCCAGATCCTTTAGATTCTTTAGTGGGGAGGTAATAGGGGATGCTATGGGATGGCAGGGTAGAGAAAATATAGCTTTTGGATCTATGCAGATGGTTCAAATTCTATCTGTACCCCTACAAACTGTGTGAGTCTAGATGAGCTATGTGACCTTTCTAAGCTTTTTATCTAAACTTAATGGGAAAATTGGTGAGGAAATGCCTGATACAGACTTTGGCAAACATGTTAGTCAGGCTATGCTAGGCCATGCTGAGATGACAAACCCCCAGTTATTTGTAAAACAAAAATCCATTTCACACTTGCATGAGGTCTCATTGTGGTCAGGCAACGCTCTTCCGTCTCGGAGCTCTGTCTTCTGGAACACATGGCCTCCGAGTCACCACGGTAGGGAAGGGAAAACTCCAAGCTGCCTCAGCTCAGAGTGGGACACATCACTTCTGTTCAGTGCTTTGGCCAGAACTAGGTGCACACACCCACGCACTCGCGAGGGAGCCTGGGAGACAGAGGGGAGCCTGCGGACACTACGTGCTGAGGGGTGTCCCATGGGATGAGTGTTGCCTTCTGCCCTACTTTCAATGGCATTTTTTGGAACAGAAATTCATGCTCTTTGGTTCTCAGCAAGTAGAGTCAGTTCTTCAAAGCTTTTATTTTACACTGCCCATGAGGAGAAAATATAAGTGAATTATTCTGATCATTTGGTACTACTTACATTACCAGTGGAAAAAACATTCAGAATTAAATCCATCACAATACCACATTTTGGGAAACTAATTAAATGGACCGAATGGCTCCTGAAAAAAATCATCTTAATCGGATGTGTGTACATATATTTTATGTTGGTATGGCATCACAGATAATTAGAACTAAAATTACCCTAGAGATTGTTTGCTTGTGTATTCTTCTCTCACCTTGTTCCTTAGCATTTGAAGCAATTCCTTAGAAATTACAGAATACTCCAACAATCAGTTCTTCCTGTTTTCTGTCTCCCTCCTGCCAATCCATTCTCCACCCTGCCACCAGAGAGATCTTTTTAAATGCAAATCTGATCAAGTGACTTCTACTGAAAAATAAAACAAAAACTTTCGAAGACTTACTCTGTCCCCTCAAAATCCTTAGTCTGGCATCACAGTCTACCCTGTCTACTGTTCCTGTCTGTGACAGCTGTGTTTTCTGTCAACCTAGCTAAGCTGGAACTGTGCTTCCCAGGCTCTACTTCCCTGTGTAGTTCTGGGTCAGGGTTGGCCACAGCCTGATTTGCTGCAGGAGAGACTCAAGTGGGACTCATAATATTAGACGATTTTCTAATGAAAAGCTATAGGATGGGAGGACGTGAACGTGCCAGATGTTCACTACTGACATGAGCAGAGGGTGAGCACTGTGTCAGGCACTACACACAGTAACTCCAAAACCCCTACACACAGTAACTCATTTATTCCTGGCAATGACCCATTGAGTTAAGTCCTATTGTTATGCCCATTTTACAGATGGCAACTGAGATCAAGCCCTCTTGCCTAAAATCACCCAGTATACAACAGAGTCAGGATTTGAACACAGGTTGTGGGACTCTATAGCCATGCTTTTCATCATTATTACAATTATATGCTACAAAAGCTTTGACAGAGATTTTGGGAAATTTTAATTCTATCTCAAAGAGATGTAGAAAGGGATGACTTCTTTTTGTATGGATATGATAACTGGAATTTGCAGCCCTGTCTTTACCAGCCTACAGATAAAGCAGAACTCCAAAGAGGACAGAGCTAATAGAATAAAAAAAAAATTATACTTGAGTATGTGAGAGACTAACATTTGTATGTAACTTTCCAGTTAGCCAGAACTTTCATTGACATCAAATGTCGTTTCAGGTATGCCATGATGCAGTCGGGATGGGAGAGGTTTTGCTGCAGGAACAAATGACTCCTAATTTCTTAACACAAAAGAAGTTCATTCCATGCTCAAGGGCCGTTGGGAGTTGGCTGTGTCTCCACACTGTCTTCACTTCAGGCCCCAGGGTGATCTGGACCATCACTGGCCACTGCGGCAGAGGGAACGAGCAGGGCAAAGCATGCACTGGCTCGAAAAGATCCTGCCTGGCTGCAACCTGTCTCTTCTGCTCACATCTTGTTGGCCAAAGCAAGAGGCACGGCCACAAGTGAGGAAGGATAATCGTCTCGCTGGGAGGGCCACGAGTATGGGTGTGGTCAACTCGTTTACCATGGAGACATTGATCTCTTAGCCACAAGGGGGAGGAGCAGAGGCTGTGTGGTCAGAACCCTCTAGAGGTCATATTTGGCCACAAGTAACCTTTTACAGTTACTCCCAATATTATCGTTTTCTGCACCATGAAGTAACACCAACTAGGAATCTTGAGTCTGATGGTCTCTGATTGTCTCACTGTTAATGCTCACAAAAATTAGGGTACTACAGCACTATTAGACCCCAAATCTAGTCAGTGATATAAAGGCAGGACCAGAATTTGGGATTTGAGTCTCCATACCTGAGGTTCTGTGGCTCTCATAAGGCCATACCCAGAGTAGGTTGGCAGAATCTGTGGCCCAAGGAGCTGGGGCCCCTTGCTCTTCACCCCCATCCTTGTCCTTGTCTGGCTCAGGAAGAGCTGGCTGTTGACAGGTTAGTAGTGGCCACACAGGCTTAGTGATTACCAGGGGGAGTGTTGAGCACATACATGCTCCAGACTGTATTTTTTCTTCTTATTAAGGCTCTGAAGACAAGAACATGACAACATTTTGGCAGCTGGGACTGTAGCCATGTGTGAGGAGAAAGTGATTTGCATGAGCAATGCAAAACCACCTGGTTTATTGCAACTGATTCTGAACAAGTTAAATGAATCAAATTCCCAGTTGGATACCAGAAGATGCTAACTTACACACACACACACACACACACACACACACACACACACACACACACACACACACACACACACACACACACACACACACACACACACAGCCTATGCAAAAAAACCCTAAGAAACAGCACTCAAGTTCCATACAAATGCACTACTAAGGACCATTTGCCCTCTTGTTCTTACCACTCACCTACCCCCCAACATCCCCTCCTCCCACCCTTAATTTTCCTGGTGAGCTTGTATGAATTCTCTTACCCTGGCAGATTCATGGCTGGGATTCCTCTCCCCACCCCCACCCCTCCATGTATGCCCTCCAGAAGGATGACCACAGTCGTGTGAGGGAGCCAGAGCAGTGAGCTTGCTTGTCTCCTGGCCACGGCAAAGAGAGCTCCGCGCCAGCCCACCTAACTGCAGATTCCTGGTCCCCAGCCTGCACATATTACCAGACTCCCTGCTGATTCTTCTGTGTGCTGAAGTTTCAGAGCCACCGCTGTAGACTGTGAAATGCTGCTCGTGGCATCTGACAGGCCCTCACAGTCCCTCAGCCTCCCAGGGCCCTGATCTCCCTGCCCGGCACAAAAGCACAGACGTATTCCAGCAACGTGTTTCTCTGCCAGAAGGGCCATCGTCAGGGCTGAGGACAGGCTGGCACAGGCTGGGAGGGCCAGGGCTGTGTGTCAGACGTGCTGGAAAAGGGAGCAAGCACATGGGAGGAACAGTCATAATGGCTTTGTGGTGTAGGCACAGGGCACTGAGCAAGAGACTGAAGACCTGATTCCTAGACTGACTTCAGCTACTAATCTTGGTAATGCTGAGTTTAGCAGGCTGTGCCCTTTGCTCATTCATTGAACAAACGTATACTAAGTGCAGAGTAGCTGTGGTAGCCAGCCTTCAGGATGGTCCACAGTGGTCCCTGTTTCCTGATATTCATACCCGTGTGTTGTCCTCGTCTCTAGTGAATAAGGCTGACCTGCATAACCAACAGGATAAGGTAGAAGTCACACTGTGTGACTTCCATGGTGTGCTCATAAGAGACACTGTGGCTTCTGCCTTGCTTTCTCTTGGATTGCTCGCTCTGAGGGCAGCCACGTTGTGAGGGTGCTCAAGCAGCACTGGGAGAGGCCCACGTGGAAAGGAACTGGGGTCTTCTGCTGACAGCCAGCACCCTGCAAGGGAACCTTTTTGGAATAGATCCTTTGGCCCCAGTCGAGCCTTTGGATGACTGCAGCCCGGCTGATATCTTGATTGCAACATTGAGAGACTCCAATCCAGAGCCATCCAGCAAAGCTGCTTCTGAATTCCTGATTCACAGGAACTGTGGGATAATCAACATTTATTATTTTAAACTACTCTGTTTCAGGGTACTTGTTCAAGCACTAATAGATAACTAATACAATGATGAATAAGACATAAAAGATCCCCACCCTACCTTTATGGAGATTATAATCTGGTGGGCTTGGGATGGGGGGAGTGTAGACACAAATAATTAAATAACATGAATAAATAAGTATAAACGGCGGCAAGTGCTGTGAAAGAAACAAGCAGGGTGCTGAGCTAAGACAAAGTTACACGCTGGGCGAGCGCATTAGCTAGGGTGGGCAGGGAATGCCCGGGAGGGACAGAAACTGGAAACGGAAGGAACCTGGAGTAGCCACCTGCACCCGGATACAGAAGCTCCACCTTAAAGATGGCAGAGTCTCCCCATCTTCCCTCGACCAGTCACTTCCGACTGTTTTCATCATTCAAGCTTTTTTTTTTTTTTTTCAAATTTATAATAGCGTTTAACAGTCTTCATGGGCGTCAGCGGAGCAGCTATCACCTGTGTGTTAGCATTCTACTTCATTCCTCGAGATGTGCTCCATCCTCACTCGAGCTGCTTGCCACCCTCCAGCGTCCGGTGCGGCCACTCTTGCTGCTCTCCATCTCGTGGAGGGGGCAGGAGGGTCTCTTCTTCACTCACAGGGATGTGTCTGAAGTATCAGCTGGCGGTGCTTGCCACGCCGGCCTTATTGAGCCCTGGTCTGGTCTGCGAATTGCCGCGCCATCTATAACAAGGTGGAGAAACAAACCCCTATCTTGGTATTTTGGGGGTCTCTTGATTTCTTCAGCTTAGCCTCTGCTCCCCCTAACACAGGGAGGCTGGTGCCGTCCTGTGGGGTCTTGGAGACCTTGGTTTGGCGTTGGCCCTGTATTCTCAAAGCAGCGGGGAAGTCACTGGATGGTTTTAGGCAGCAAAGCCAAATGATCTCATTTATTCTTTAAAATGTTCACTCTGGTTAGTCCTTGGGTCTGTGCCCTCTAAGTCTCGGGTTTCTAATTTATAAAACGGGAGTCTGAGACAGAGTTTTCCACTCTGCTTATCCCTGCAAAAGTCTCTCCTTTTCAGGCTAAACATTCCAGTTCCTTTAACCCTCCTTCACACAATTTGGTCTCTTCTCAAGCTTGGTTATTCTCTGCAGAATTTACCTGTGGTCACATCCTCTGGATTTGGGGCACTTCAAACCCAACCCAGAGCTCTGTCCATGGTGCGCCCAGTGTGGGATGGAGCAGGGCTGCGGGTCTCTTGTGAGGTCATTTTTGACATGTGTTAACAGTCATGATTTCCCTGCAAAGTCTCTTTGCTGCTACCCTGAAGGTGAATTGTATGAAATCATTCTTTGCTTCTCTGGAACCATCCTTCCCTACCCCCCACCTTCATGCATTCTCTCTACTGTTGGCAACACTGGGACAGAAAGACCAGGGGTCCACACAGAGCATCGCCTTGAGATGAGCTTGGGGCAGGAGATGGCCTAATTGAGATTCAGGCATCATCCCTGGGAGAGTGGCAAGTTCTTTTGAAAAGTGGCTACAGAGACAATCTTTGCATTTAGAAACATTGAGGACTTAAATCTTAGTTCCAAAGTGAGTCATCTGAGAATGATGAGCCGGATGGGTCTGAAACATGATGGGTAGTTCTCATACAAAGGATCAGCTCTGCCTGGAGTTCAGATAAAAGATCACACTAGCTAATTTAGATACAAATGATAACTTTCCAGCGGGGGTAACAGATAAGTGCTTCCAGAAACAGCTTCTTTAGGCAGTGAAGCCACAAATGGCTGCCTTCAGAGAGAAGGGAGAAATGGTCGAAGACAGAGAAGAATTTAGGTCAGCCAGAATGGGGCCCCCAAAAAAGTCAAGTTCAGAAATAATTTAGCAGATAGGGATCCAAAGAATATGTGGTTTGCCTGACAAATGACATTCACTTTGAAAGCGAAAATGAAATTGGAGAAAGCAAAATTGCTGCATAATGGGCCCCGGAGATTGAAAAGATTCTAGAGGAGACAGGAGTCGTAAAGCCTTCCTAGTTAAGCACAGAATTGGAATGTATGAGTTTTGGTCCATCAAGGGTCAGGTGAAGATCACACAGATAATGGCTTAATCCCAACCGGCTCCAAAATCATGTTCATTAGCGAAGCATCTCAAGCTCTTGACAAGCGCGCCCGACCAGACTCACGCTGCCTTCTCTCAAAATTGCTTGTTCTGGGTGGAACTCTTTAACAGAATAAGACCACTTGATTTTACAGGTAAGCCTAGGAAAGGTGGAAAAATACTTTTACCTTGAATGTCAAGGGGTCTGTGAAGAGCTGGGGAGGCGAAGGAGGGCGGAAAGACAATGCGCATCACAACCGAAGAAGCGCCGTGGGGCTGGCAGAGTCTCACCCTCGCAAAATAATGATCCCCGGCCACCTAGCAGAAGGCACATGGACTTCTGCCTAGGACGTCTGGGCTACATTCCCGCTCCAATGAACGACTCTCCGTGAGATTGTTAGACTAGTCACTTCATCTCTGTGAGACTCATTTTACCCGCTCCCAGTACAACTATAATCATATCTGTTGACTCCTTTCCTCTCCACAGAGATATAGGTTTGCAAAGTGCTTTTTATCAACTTTGTGCTTTCTTAAGCATTGTCTTCTTACTTAACCCTCATGATAATCCCGTAATGTGGCATGATCGGCTCCATTTTAAGGATGAGGAAACTGAGGCCTGGAAATGTTAAAGGTACAGACCTCTAAGTGGAAGAACCCAGACTGGAGTACAAATAACTTGATTTCAAATACAGGACTCTCTGCAAGACCATCCATCCAATGAGAAAGAGAGTTGGGAGTGGTTCTTGTGGGATATAGCACACTGCGGTAAAGAGCATGAGTTTTGGAATAAGTCAACGAGGGTTCAAATTCCAGCTTTGTCACTTTCTAATGGTGTCACTTGGTCACACAAATTTTAGGGTCTTTGTTTGTAAAGTGGGGATGAAAATGGTCCTTCGGCCATTTTTGCTGAGGGTTCCATACCCACAGAGTGTCCGGCGCATCCCATAGCAAGCGCTCGGTGACTGGAAATGCACTATCGTAGCCGGCCATGGGGATGGGCCGCTGGAGAGCTTGACGGGCGAGGGATCAGGAGGGATGGCTCCGAAGTCGGATGTCGTGGGTTTGAACCCTGCTTCACCAGTTATTAGATAAGTGACCTCAAGAAAATTATTTAACTTTCTCTAAGCCTCATTTTCCTTATCTGCAAAATTGGATAAATAGGGTTATGTCTCATATGTTATGAGAATTAAATGAGGTACTTGGAAGGACGCCTGGCACATGGTGGGTGCACCGGAATTATTACCCAGGATAGTGTTGTGTCGTGGCTGCTCATTAATGATCAGGAGGAAGGGTGAGTGAACAGCTCCAGAAACCAGGACACCACTTCCCCGTAGAGTGAGACCAGGGTGAAACATGGGAGCATGGGGCCTGAAGAATGGCTTTCCCAGTGCCCTTGACCGGGAGCCGTGCTTTCATTGTGGAATCATCTTAATCTCAGTGTGTCTCTTCTCTCCATTGTGCTTTGCAGTGAATCCTATCTCATGACCTACTATAATGTCTGCTTAGGATTCTTGCCATCCTCTGTGGATTTTCATTTTCATTTCAATCCATTAGTTCACTCACTC